GCGCATAACCTTGGGGCTAAGGGATCCGGAGGAGAGGGCCTCCTCAAACTTGGCTTGATCAAACTCTACAACGAGAGTTTCAACGGTCGTTCCAGCGAGATGAATATCGGATTGCACCACCACTTTCTCATCAGAGAAGCTAGTCCCCAGCGGAGTCGTCATCTTTTGTTTGTTGAAAAATTTGCAGTAAAAGAAACGAAGGAAAATTGATTTGTATTCCTTTAATCTCAGTTACAATTGGATTTCCTGATTACAAAAGAGAAGAGAATGATCTGGATTCTCCCATTTGTTTAATTCTGGGTTCTTCACGGTGGCGATGGAGTGCCTCCCTCGAATGCTCGCATCGAGTTTGCTCTCCGTTGATGATCCGAACGTCTTGATTCACTGGAACGTGATCTTCTCCTCACGATTTGACGTTGTGGAAAACTCTGAATGAGTTTGAAACTCTATGAAAGAGTTGATTTAACCGAAATCGGTCTATAAGCCAAGGATGAAGAAAGCTCCTGTTGCCGAATGTTGCTGAGGGATGACGTCAATCTCCTCAAAAGCCTGCCCAAGGATCTCTTCTGTTACTGCCAAGAAGTTCCAACCGACCGAACCCCTGAACTGAATTAATTTTTAGTTATTTATAGGGGATTAAGGGGTGTAACCACCTCCTTAATTCGCTCCTAAGTGGGGCTAATGGGATGTAACCGCCCCCTTAAATCACTCCTGAGTGGAGTTATGATCCCCTCAGATCGTGGGAAACGGTTTTGAAACCGTTCAGCTCGTGTTTGAACGAGTCAAACGCAAAATCCGCGTTCTGGTGTGAATTCTGCGTTCAAACGCAGTGTCTGGAAGCTTGAACGCAGTGTCTGAAAGCTCGGTCGCAGCAGCTGGAAGCTGCGTTGGCATCTTGTTGGAAGCTGCGTTTGGCGACTTGGAAGCTGCGTTTGGCAACGGATGGAAGCTGCGTTGGCAGGATTTAAGAGCTGCGTTTGGCAGCGATTTGGAAGCTGCGTTGGCAGCGTTGGAGGTTGCGCTTGAGCTGTGTTTGCGGCGATTTGGAAGCTACGCTGGCAGCATTGGAAACTACATCTGAGCTGCGTTCGTGGCTATGAACGCGGTGTATCTTCAAGCTGGTACGCGGGGAGGACTTCCACGTGTAGTCTCTTTCTGTCAGAGCGTTGCAAAGATCGTCGTTTTGTAATCTTTGCTTTAGCTCTTTGATATGTGAGAGTCGTCAGATTGTAACTCTCGATGTTGATTGTGAAGGCTGTTGATTAGAGCTTTCATCAGTTGTTGCGAAGGTCGTCAGATTGTAACCTTCATCAGTCTGTGTGAAAGTCTTCAAATTGTAACCTTCTGGAAGTCGTCAGAGTGTAACTTTCATCATCGATGTTTTGATGGGGATCAGCTATTTATTGTGATTTTTTAACAGCCTACACTATTGTTGAGCCAAAGTCCTTCCAAGAGGCAGTTCAAATTCCAGAGTGGCGACAGGCTATGGCTGAGGAATTTTAAGCCTTTCAGCAAACTCATACCTGGGATGTTGTTCCCTGTCCTCCTGGGATCTCTCTTGTTGGCAGTAAATGGGTTTATAAGGTCAAGTTTCGTCCTGATGGCACCATTGAACATCGAAAAGCTCGTTTAGTGGCTTGAGGTTTTACTCAGCAATAAGGTATTGATTATGAGGAGACATTTGCTTCTGTTGCTCAGATGCCCACTGTTCGTACTCTCCTTGCGGCCGCTGCTGCTCATCGTTGGCCCTTATACCAGATGGATGTCAAAAATGCTTTTCTTCAAGGCTCTTTATCAAAGACCGTATATATGCAACCGCCTCCAGGGTCAAATATTCCTCCGGGACATGTATGTCTCCTTCGTCGTGCTGTTTATGGTCTCAAACAGGCACCCCGCGCTTGGTTTGAGTGTTTTCGCGATGTTGTGCTCAAAGCGGGCTTTATAGAAAGTCATCAAGATGCTTCTCTGTTTGTTCGCACTACATCGCGCGGCAGAGTTTTATTATTCATCTATGTAGATGATATGATCATTACAGGTGATGATATGGTAGGTATACAATACGCAAAATCTCAGTTGCAACAACAGTTCCACATGAAGGATCTTGGATCTCTTCGGTATTTCCTTGGTCTAGAAATTTCTCAAGGCCCGCGGGGTGTATTACTGTCTCAACAGAAGTATCTCTCAGATATTCTAAATCAAGCTGAGTTAACTGATAATACAACTGTCGATACTCCACTCCAGCAGAATGTCAAACTTTGCTCTACTGACGGTGAGCCTCTATCTGATCCTACCCGATATCGACATCTTGTTGGTCAGTTGGTCTATTTGTGCATCTCTCGACCAGATATCTCTCATGCTGTTGGTATTGTCAGTCAATTTGTTAGTGCTCCACGTTCTGTACACTATGCTGTCTTATTACGGATTCTTCGGTACCTTCGGGTACTAGCACTCGCTCTTTTTTGTTTCCTGCTACATCTAAGTTAGAGCTTTGTGCATATTCTGATGCTGATTGGGCCGATGATCCAACTACCAGAAAGTCTACCACAGGTTATTGTATATTTCTTGGTGATTCCCTTATTTCCTGGCGAAGTAAGAAACAAGATGTTATTGCTCTTTCCAGTACTGAGGCAGAGTATCGTGCAATGTCCACAACAGCTAAAGAGATTATTCATCTTCGTCGCCTTCTCAGTGATTTCGATATTTCTGTTACGACTCCTACTCCTCTCTACTGTGATAATAAGAGTGTCATCCAGATTGCTAATAATCCAGTATTTCATGAAAGGACCAAACATATTGAGATCGACGCTCATTTTGTCTGTCACCAAGTTATCAAGGACAAGACAATTCTACTTCCTCATGTTTCATCCGCTGACGAGCTTGCAGATTTCTTTACAAAGGCCTTACCTGTTCATCGGTTCCAGTTTCTTGTACGCAAACTCACTTTGTTTGATCCAACATGAGTTTGAAGGGGGCTGTTGATAATAGTGTATTGTAGTGGGTTTTAGTCCCACATTGCTTGGGAGAACAAACCTCACACTCCTCTACTTGTATAAATATATGTGCATACTCAATATTCAATTCAAGGGAAATTTACCCAAGATTCTCTCTCTCTTACTTTAACAATTACATACAAATACAGATAGGTACATGCAGATCATGGTTTTCTATAATTCTCAATTTGCAAGATCCATAAAATTTTAACCTTTTTGTATTCAGGTTTCATAATGAATGGGTACGCAAGGATGGGACAGAAGTAATACCAATCAGGTCAAATAATGTACCTTTATATTATTATTTGGTGTAGTGACAAAAAATACCATGCAAGTAGATAATTAAAAAAAAGGGAAAATTGTGTCCAGGCCCCAAAAGTGGGAACTTCATGTGACAAACCCCCTCGTATTTCGGCCCATGTGTATTAGCCCCAAATACGCACAGTATTTGTTATGGGACCCCTAACTACTCTTTTTCAGAAAAACAAAGGCGGAAGTTACACTCGTGCCCTTCTGATGGGACTGAACTCGGTTAACGCGCCCCATCCTTATTCAAGTACTCTCTCTCTCTCTCTCTCTCTCTCTCTCTCTCTCTCTCTCTCTTCCACCTCTTCGTTGTCTCAGAAACTCGAGATTGTGTCCAATTTCTCACCGCCGTTCAACAGTTTTAGGGTTTTCGCCTGAATCATGTCGTCCAGGGAAGGATCATTTTCCGATTTCGAGGTCGACCACCGACGCGCCTCGAAGGGCCAAGACGTATCGTCTGGGCTTGAAAGCGCGGAGGAGGCGACGCAAACCCTAATGGAGATGCAAAAGGAGGCGATAGCACGTCGAGACAGCAAAAGACGACCCTCGACGGCCGAGCGTACCATCCAACCCTCCCCCGAAAAACAGTATGTTCTATGTTATCGAGAATCTGGGAAATCGACCTAATTTTGCGTAAATTCAGTTCATCTCAAAAATACCAGTTGTAGATGAGTACACATGATGTAAATTCAGTTCATCTCAAAAATACCATGTTAGATCTATTTTTAGAAGTGTGCTAGCAAATCAGACAATAGTCAGATCTATTTTCATTACATGTTTTACGATAGTCCGCGATAGTTTTATTTCAAAACACACTTAGTCATCGCTAGTTTCATTTCAATCACACTTAGTCAGCGATGGTTTCATTACAGGTTTTACGATTATGCCCTTCCAGATGACACCGAGAACATTTAACTGGCCGGGTGTAAACAGTTCTGTTGTTGATTCGCCTGGTCTTATTTCTCCTTTTCCTTTTCGTTGTAATTGAAGGTAGGATCTGTATCTCATCCCTTGGCACGCTGCGTTTCTCGTAGTCAGGTATAGGGTAGATGATAGGCTCGTAGCTCCTTTTAAAGGCGTCAACCGTCATAAACCAGTCACAGAATTGGTAGACATCCCTTTTCATAAACATAATGCTTGCGCATGCATGTTTGCAAGGGACACGGGTTACATCCCACCCACGGCAAGTGCATGTTTTATTGTCTAGATCCACTTGACAAGATCTATGGGATTGTACTTCAAATAAGCCTGTGTGGGACTGACGAACCTCCAACGGGCGTCCATTGTCCATGTTCTCCTTGAGGGCAATTTCAGCTTTGGGGCAAAGAACTTGATTCCAACTTTCAGCCATGACTCGTCGCTCATTCATGCGCACCATGATCTGTTTACGAATATGCTCTATCAGTTGGAGTATCCGTAGAAGCCTTGCCTCATGAATCAATTTTTGAATGACTCTGCAACATTTGATGTAACGTGACCATATCTAAACATAGACAGTGTTAGTTCTATCTACTTCTATTAGTTATATGTAAGGTAATCAAATGAAATATTACTTGCCTAACTCCAGGAGAAAACGCATTGGCCTAGTTTTCTGGAGCATAGTTCATCACAATATTGTATGCACGCTCGTCAATTAGTCTGATGTCGTCCATATAATCATTCCATTCTGCTCTAGTATATTTGTAACAGGCAGATTGCAGTAGATTACCCAAGATCTGAGAATCCTTTGACTTGAATCCCAAATCCTTCAACTTTGTTCTGAAGTTCTCGACCAGATGCAGCACACAGCGAGAGTGTATAGAACCGGGAAAAAAATTCTCTAACTGCTTCTCTGATCCCTTTATCCGCATCTGAAATTATCACTAGCTTATGTGGATGGTTGTATGGATCTGCCCTTTCATAGAGAATGGACCACAGACCTACAAAAAGAGTATTGGTTAACAGCCCTTAAAGTTAACTACGAAGGAGATAGAATTATAATAGCGATATTAGAACTAGATTTCTGAAGTGTTAGTTCTGTCAGGTGTCGTGTCAGTTCTAATATTTTGCCCGTTAGTTCTATTGTTCATTGTGTTAGTTCTATTATTTCTCTTTGTCGTGTCAGTTCTAATATTTTGCCCGTTAGTTCTATTGTTCATTGTGTTAGTTCTATTATTTCTCTTATTAGTTCTATTGTCTGTTGTGTTAGTTCTATTATTTCTTTTGTTAGTTCTATTGTCTGTTGTGTTAGTTCTGTTATTGATAGTGTTAGTTCTATTGTCTGTCTTGTTAGTTCTATTGTCTGTTGTGTTAGTTCTATTATTTCTCTTGTTAGTTCTTGATTGTGGTGTGTTAGTTCTATTTTTGTTGGCATCATCATGTATAATGTTGGAACTAACCTTGTAGGAACCACTTCCAGTTAACATTATTTTCTTGATCGCAGATACAATAGGCCAATGGAAATATCCCCTGATTGCCATCATATGCCACGGCGCTTAATAGTATACCTTTGAATCGATCTTTCAGAAAGGTTCCATCCAAAAATATAAGTGGTCTGCAACCTTGTAAAAAACCATTTATGCAGGCCGCATAGCAGATGAATATCCTTGTAAACCTACCCTCGTCTTGTTCAACATGAATGTAGCTTCCCGGATTTGTCTTCTTAACCTCGTCTACATACCTAGATAATTGAAGATTAAGCGTTAGTTTCAACATTATAAAGTTATGAGACTTATAGCGTCATATAAATGAAAACAACAGCAACTTGTGTATATATGATCTTCTGATTTACCATCTCAATTGATCGTAGGACTCATAAGTATCACCATATAATCGCCCTTGAGCTCTTTCTTTACCCCACCAAATCTTACTATATTCAACCCTAATCCCATATGAACTTAGAAACTCCTTCTGAACGTCAATAGGTCGTATATCCGGACGTACCTTCAACGTGGGTTGTAATTGGGTAGCAATGAAATGACGAGAGGCTCTAGATTGACCTGCATTATTGGCATGTTGTCCACAGTTGTGAATGTCCACGAACCTTTTTATTTCAAGTCTATTATCATTTTTCGGCGGAGAGGCAAATAACATCCATGGGCAATTTTTGGCTACCTTAAACCGGCAAAAAACTCGAATACGCTTTGGTTCATTCTTCACAAACTCATATTCGAATTTTTTGGCCATGGAGTAGTATAGCAAGGCCAATCTTAACTCCTTCGCACTTTCAAAACGTTGCCCCTCCCCAGTTAACGCAGTGTGCCACCAAGCAAGAATCCTCTCAGATCTGCTAATCATGTCATCAATCATCATAACATTATCTCTTGAAGGAATGTCATTGGGAGTCTTATCTGCAACAGTTGTGGACGACAACTCCGGTGGGCCACAGTCTATACTTTTCGAGTTTAGACTTCTGGAAGCGCTACAAATATTAACAACAGGAAAATAGTTAATCATAAACTACACAAATAAAAGTGTTGATAGGTCTAACACGCTTTAGAGTAGCTCTACCCCATATGGAACTGGTGATAGAACTAACATACAATCGTGTAGAAGTAACAAAATAGCTACTAGAACTAACAGAAACCCCTATATGTATTAATAGAACTAACATGCATGCATTCGTGTAGAACTAAGAACTAAGATGCATGCAATCGTGTAGAACTAATAAAATAGCGATTATAACTAACAAAATAGCCATTAGAACTAACAAAATAGCGATTAGAACTAACAAAATAGCGATTAGAACTAACAAAATAGCCATTAGAACTAACAAAAACCCGTTCAGCAACAACACGTTGATTAGAACTAACAGGTCAACGATTACAACTAACATATTGTTGAAATGCATCTGAAATCCAGTTTAACATTCAACATAGACAAAAAGAAGACGATTAGCACTAGCGTTCGTTTACTTCGCAGTTAACCTACATGTCTTGTGGGACTTGCTCTTTGCAAGGTTGGACTCGCTCATTGCAGTGTATATTCTGCAAATCATCAGCTTTCATGTGAACCTCTTTCAGTCCAAGATTGTGGCAATGCTCCACCATAGACATCATGTCCCCCTCGTTCTCAATAGGAAATTTCAAGCTTCCAGCTGTTTCATCTTCGTATGACAGAATTAATGACTCATATGGAATACCTAACCTCTCTGCCACATCAAATTTGAGATCCAGGATGGTGGTTGAGGAGTTAATCTTCAAAAATACCGCTTTGTACCCCGAAGAGACAATGCAAATGATGTCCTTCTCAGCCATTTTGAAGAGAAGGTAAGATTAATGGCGCGAGTAAAGGAGAGAATTTTGGTCTGAGGAGAAGTAATGGATAACTAAATAGTTATAGCTCATGATGGGAAAAAAGGCGAGAAATTTCCCTCCATTTCTTCCATCTTATCGCATTAAAGAGGAGTGTCTACTGTTAAGGGACGGCGCCTCGTCTGGGGAAGAAGGAGAAGGGCAGTATCGCCTTTTTTGAAAAAATACAATCTGCTTTTGTACAACGCTGACATGGAGGGGGCTTAAAACATTAGTCTTCACTTTTTGGGGCTAATACACATGGGCCGAAATACGAGGGGGCTTGTCACATGAAGTTACCACTTTTGGGGCCTGGACACAATTTTCCCTTAAAAAAATCTTCATGTGTTTTTCACAATCTGAAACTATCATTTTCATTATTATGTGCATACAATTGTATATTAGTAAATATTTCCATCTACTTTCATGTTTTAGTGAAGAAGGGCTTCGATGTGTTAAAAGAAGAGATCTCATCGACACCTTGGCTAACAGTCTGCCTGCAGAATCGATCAGATTTGGGTGTCGAGTTGTAGCAATTGAAACTGATCCTACTACCTCTTTCCCCATTGTTCATGTTGCAGATGGTCGCATCCTGAAAACTAAGGTAAATAAAAAACTCGAAGTTGCGTGTACTAGAAAACTGGATCCGAAAAAAAAAATCGATGTCATTTGTTATATGCATAAATTTGTCAGGTTCTGATAGGATGTCATTTGTTATATTCATAAAATTTTCAGGTTCTGATAGGATGTGATGGCTCAAACTCGATCGTAGCGAGAACATTAGGACTAAAACCCCAAAACCTCCTTCAAACACAAGTGGTACAAGGACTAACAAGTTATCCAAATGGACACGGCCTCTCCAATAGTTTCCTACACGTGTGGGGTGACAAACTCCTCGTAGGAAGGATTCCAGCGGATGAGAAGTCAGTTTTCTGGTTTGTAACGCAAGAATTCAACCCGAAAGGTATTCTCTCATTCTGACATTATTAACGCAAAGTTTTGAGTTTGATTCTAAAGGGTGTGAAATACGAATGCCAGATTTAGAAACCAGAGACGATCTCAGACTCGTGAGGGATCGAACAACAGAGGCACTCAGGGATTACCCTGCACGGGTGATTGAGATGGTGAAGCATTGTGATATCAAGACGTTGTCCCTGCACCCTATCAGGTATCATGCTCCATGGCATTTGGCTTTCAGCGATATTTCAAAAGGGACAATGACGGTGGCTGGCGACGCTACGCACCAGATGGATCCGTCGATGGCCCAGGGAGGCTGCTCCGCGCTCGAAGATGCGGTGGTGCTCGCAAGATGCCTGTCTCGAGAAATGCCAGTTGGCCTGTCAGGATGCAGAGCAAGCGACCAAGAGATGCTGGAGAGAGTTGGAGGGGCGTTGAGAAGATACGCAAGAGAGAGACGTTGGAGAGTAGTGATATTATCGACCAAATCCTTTCTCTCGGGGTCACTGCTTTGTGCCTCGTGGCTCAAGAGGTTCATATTCTTCGTCATATTCTCTAAAATATTGGGTGGCAGGTTCAGCCACACGCAGTATGACTGTGGGCTCCGTTAGAAATGGAAAATTTTCAGAAAGACTGAAGGAGCTGGTCTATTGAATAAAGTATATGGATATGTAAATGAAATGGAGTCTCTTATATATAAAAAAAAAAATAGGGTAAATTATATTTAGCCCTTTCAAGCTTTCCAAGAGTGACATTTGTCTACCAAAACATATTTTCATCACCTTTTTCCAATTACTTTCCACCTCTGATGTTTCTGTTAGTTTTCTTTCTCCCCCCAACTGCTTATATTTAAGGCATGGATAATATAAAAAAATCTTAATGAGTAAAAATTAACATATTTCTATCTAGGTTCAAAAGCATAAAGAAAAACATCTAAAATATATTTTGCGTTAATTATTCAGATGCAATTTTCACTTAATCTAATATAAAAACAACATAGGAAAAGACAAAATGTCCATTTCCTTCTATTTGTACTTTGACTGTACTAGTAAGTTTTTCATATATATAGTAGTTGCATAGATGACTAATATCTTTTTGTCAACAAAACAGAGGCTTGTTATTTTATATTGATTCACCAATTACCTTTATTATATCCTATTGCCATGAAAAGCGATTGCTTGCAATTAGAAGCACTAAGTAACATGACATTCACAAATCTCAAGGACTTTGCTCCCTCTAAGCATCTGCTTGACGTTATTTACCAGATCATGCCACTTTATAAATAAAAGGGTCACTAGGGTCCGTCCCCACCCCCCCACCCCCCTGGGGGATCAAATGCCACTCAGACTTAACAATCTATAAATCAGTATGTTTAGTTGACTTAATTTGCTGGTTTATATATACACTAACATACCAAATTTACATTTACGAAAAGGAGGAGGAGGCTCATTTAGATCATAGTAGAAGAAGAAAGAGAAGAATATATGAAGCCAGGGTGAGCAATGTTTGGTGCAAATGATTGAACTGACCGAACCGATCAAATTTTGGCCGTTCGTTCGGTTTTAGAAAAACTTTGGTGCGGTTTGGTTAAAAAGTATTTACACGGAACTGACCAAACCGATCACTCTCAACCTAATTGCCAAAAACTTATGTTCGTTCTAGGTGAATAGGTAATTTACACTAATACTTTTCTGTATCTCAATTGTAGGAATTGCGCCTATTCTTTAGTTTAGAGGTAGGACCAGTTTACCATGGACTCAAAGTCAAATGTGGTCTAGATTGGGATAGGGTGGAAATGGTATTTTGAAAAATCAAGATCACAAATTTTCCTTTAGATTCTACTAGAAACATCATTTAAAACAAAACGAATACTTTTTTAATAATTGATTTGTTTATTTATCTAATGTTTGTTTGTACATCTTATATATATATTTTGTTATTATACATATTATTTTAACTCTCTGATCCTATTTATATTTTTAAATGTGGATATCATCACTATTTTGAGATTTAGAGTCTCTACACCTAGTTGTCTTTATCTATCTGGATTTTAAAAAAAGTAAACATAGGTATGATAAAGCTCAAAGTTAACAGAAACTTACCTTCAATGTTTTTTGTTATGAACATGTCCAGGAGAGATCTGAAACCCTCAGAACCATAGAAGCTCGCATTAATGTCTTTCTCAATGGTTGGCATGCCCATAATCATCTTAGAGTGGGAGATCAGCTGCGTGCAAATTCTACACATATCACGGAGTATGAATTATTTTTTCATATAGATAGTCATCTTCATTGATGTCGCTATCACAATCATACTGATTGATACAATATATGCATGTCTATAAACATACAGAGACTTATAAATTTATGATCATGGTTTTCAATAATTCTCAAATTTCAAGATCCATAAAATTTTAACCTTGTTGTATTCAGGATAGATAATGATTGAGTAAACAAGGATGAGATATAAGTAAATGCCAATTAGGCACAATCGATGTACTATTCATTAGGTGTTATATTCTGTATTGTGACAAAATTAGCATGCAAGTAGATATTATCCTTCCTAGTGTATGTAACCGAATTCCAAACTAGCATTTTCACAAGTTGATTCCTTCCAATTTTATGCAATCCACCACCTCGGGTGATCTGAGCCTTGTAAAGAGGGCATGAAATATCAAAACTGTTCCCTTGTTTCGCACATTTACAGTTGGAACACCCCGTATGGTGTAGGACGTTCTGATAGGATTTCTACTACTAAAAAAATGTCATTTGCAGATCTCAAGCCAATCTGCTCCCCATAAGCATGTGTTTGAAATTATTGATAAGACCATGGCATTTTATAAAAACCCTTTGTTTACTTTCAGAAACAAATGCCTGTCAGACTGTCAGTCTTTAATAACCTATAACACATTATGCTTAGTTCAGTTTGCTCCTTTATAAATACAAATACTAGTCTCAGGCTAAATGCTAGGGAAGAGAGAATAAAGAGAATAATATAGAACAGAGATGGGGAAGCAGGAGGGGTTTCATGAGATTGTGATCATTGGTGGAGGCATCTGTGGGCTTGCTACTGCACTCGGCCTTCACAAGTGAATCTCTTGTCTTTTTCAACTTCATTTACATGCTAATAATAATAAAACTCCTTTTAATTCTTCTTCACTTTGATAGCTATATTCATGGTTTGGCCTCCTTTCTTTAATTTAGAGGTAGTACCATTTTATTTATCATGGCCTCAAATGTGAATCAAGTTATGATAAAGTAGTAATCATGTTATGATAAGAGCGTGAAGTTATTGAAACTTACCTTCATTGTTTTATGAATATTTGCAGGAAAGGCTTAAGGAGTGTAGTTTTGGAGAGATCTGAAACTCTACGAAATACGGGGGCTGCTAGCTATTGCTATTTGTCTCCATGGTTGGCATGCCCTTGACCATCTTGGAGTGGGAGATCAGTTGCGTGCAAAATCTATGCATATCACAGAGTATGAATTATCTTTCCCACACGATAGTCGTAGTCACTGTTATAACTCACCATCATATTGATGTATAAAATGTATGCATGTTACATGTGTACATACAGAACTAATAAATACATAATCATGGTTTCCAATAGTTATCAAGTTTAGAGATCCATAAATTTTGAAACTTAGTGTATCCAGGATACATAACTGTGGACGCCCGGGCCCACCCACGTGGGAGTCTGCTCACGAGCAGACGTGCGCGTCCACGAAAGCTCATCGCGGGAATTTCTCCCGCGTGGTTTTTTCCCCTTCCGCGCGCGCTCCTGTTCCCGCGCTTCTGAGCCCGCCAAATTTTTCGGTTCCCCCCTCTTTGGTTTCCTATAAATAGAGAAGGGGTGGAGGTGTTTTTGGTGTGGGGAAATTAGTGGGAAAAATCTCAAGTGGAGTTTTTTGAGAGAAAAGAAAGAGAGGAAGAGAGAACTTGTATAAGTTTGGTATTTTTCCTCCATAGTGAAACACCCTCCCGTGAACGTAGGCTAGTTTGCCGAACCACGTAAAAATCTCGTGTTTGTATTTGTCTTATCTGTGAGTTGTCATAGCTTGTAGGTTCCCTCGATATTTCAGTTCTTGAACTGATGAGAGGAAAAGTGTATATTTCACTTTGATGAAATATATCACTTTCGATTCTTGTTTCCTTTGAGAAATAAGAATTTCACTATCTATTCTAGTTTCCTTTGAGAAACAAGAATATAGAGGTTGACTTGTGCTTTTGTGATAACAATAGTCAGGGCTATCTCTCAGGTGATATCGCTTCCGCGGCGACGGGCGTGACTCCGCCCCAACAATTGGTATCAGAGCACTTATTCAGACTGGAGGTGGTAAAATTTCCGATCTGAGGTGGTGGTAAAACACAAAGAAATTGTTAAAAATTCCTGAGAGAAGCGGATTGACATAATACAAGCGGAAAATAGCTTCTACAAGTAAAACAAGTAAAGTTGGAAAATACGAGATTGAAAAATTTAATGGGAAAAATAATTTTTCCTATTGGAGGATGCAGATAAAAAATTCGCTGATTTCGCAAAAATTGTACAAGGCTTTGGCCGGAAAAGAGAAGAACAAAAATATGTCTGATGAGGATTGGGAGGAGCTGGATCTGGAAGCACGGACGTCGATTATCCTTTGCCTTGAAAGGGATGTAGTTTTCTTGGTAGACGGGGAGGAAACGGCTACGGGCGTGTGGTTGAAGTTAGAAAGCACATTCATGACGAAGAGTCTAACGAACCGGATCTATTTAAAATCCAAATTGTATACTTGCAAGATGGAGGAGGGCTCGTCAATTCGGGAGTACATCAACAAGTTCGATAGGATCATATCGGATTTGAAAGACATTGAGGTGACAATGGAAGACGAGGATCAGGCGCTTCTACTACTTCTATCTTTGCCAAAGTCTTATGAAAACCTGGTGCAAACACTGATGCTTGTGGGTGATACTTTGTCGATGGATGAGACTAGAACAACACTTCTAGCGGATGACCTTCGAAAAATTGCAACTAGTGATATGGTCACTGGTGGTAACAAAGAACAAGCGCAGGGACTGTTTGCCAGAGGAAGAGGCAATGAGCGAGGAAAATGCAAGGGAGGAAAGTCTAGATCTAAATCGAGACCTCTTGCGGGACGAGCGTGTTTCAAATGCGGTGAAGTTGGGCATTTCAAGGTCGATTGTCCTAACAAGAGAGTAGGTGGGAAAAAAGAATCTTATTTCAGTTGGTGCTTTGGACTCCGGGGGTTGCAAGATTGTAACAGAGAACGGAGTGAAGAGGGTTGTTCGGGGTTCCTTAACAGTGATGAAGGGTGTTCGTCACGGTAATCTATATACTCTCTCGGGTACGACGGTAACGGGAGATGCAACAGTTGGAACTTAAGGAAGTGGTGGAGACCCATGTGAGCACACACGGTTATGGCATAGGCGGCTTGGGCACATGTCAGAGAAGGGTCTGGATCTGCTTGGTAAAGAGGGTTTGCTGAAGAATCTGAAGAAGCCTTGCATGGATTTTTGCGAGGACTGTGTGTATGGAAAGGCGCGCAGGGTTCAATTTCTGAGGAGCAAGCAAAAGAGCAGAGGGATACTAGATTATGTGCACACGGATGTTTGGGGTCCGGCTTCGACA